ACAAGACATCGCTGTCTCTGTTAGATCGGGAGGTTTCAAACTTCCTTGCGCGACCTCCGAACGCGGACCACGTACCAATGTCGTCTTCTCCGTTCCTCACACTACCCGCGAAGCGAAGAACACTCGAAATGGCGCGCGAATACTGGCAAGACGAGTACACAAGGCTGGCTGAAAGGTGCGAAGAGGTCGATAGAGATCGCGGTGCGCTTGACGAGGGCGCAGTACTATGGACCGACGTCATGAAAAGGGTGGCAGACTACGAGACAACCCTACAAGACTCTATGCGGCCCACGACACAGAAAAGCGCCCCAGATCCCAATAAGCTTCTCGAGCAAATGGATGCAATAATTGCCTACCTCGAAGAGAAGCTAGAGTTTGCGTCGTCGCGAAGTTGGAACCTCCTGGTTTGCGCTATCGGTGCCGAGCTGGAAGCGTTCAACCAAGGCAAGAATATGTTAGAAGATACTCTTGGGTTGAAAAGAAAGGGCAAGGAACGAGCTACAGAACCGTTGATAGATCATGATGGTTTTGAGGCTAGGGAACCAGAGGAGATGACGGGATCTGCGATCAGAATCAGTCGGTCCCCGCCGAAGAAGGCTGCGTCGCCTAGACAAACGTACTTTGACTCTGAAGACGATGATCCGGATCCCGAACTCATGATTTCGCATCAGGATACAGATACAGATTGAGCTCGATGCGGGGTTGCTGACATGCTTTTCTTCGAGATTAGATACCCTTTTGTTTACCCACGCTTTTTAATCAATGAATCGCCATGCAATACATACTCTTCTACTTGCTCATGCCAATAACGTGTCGTCATGTGGACAGCCGTGCTGCGTGGCTCAATCTATCGATAAGAGTGGAGAAAACGGAGATAGCCCGTCTTATTACCGTCACTACTAACAAAGCTCCCGCCCGTTACGAGCATCACCATCATAATCACCTCGGTACAACTTGCGACATCTGCTGGACAGCTTTTCGCAAATATGAGTTCTTCGCACGCCCCGACTAGCCCACCTACCGAGGAGGACACCGCAAGAACCATTGTTTACGATCCAAACGACCCGTTCTGGCGCGATACTGAAGATGATGATGACGACATGGACTTTGTGCCCGCAGAAGAGGGGACCGACGACAATGAGGACGGTGAAGGCGATTTGAGCTTTCATGGTATATTAATCTGTTTTGTATGGCTCATGAAACATTTACTGACATTATCGCAAGATGCTGCCGAACGATTGAGTAACCTCAGCGGAGTGGAGATCGCATTCGAATACACCGACGATAACGACGAAGATGACGACGAAGAAGAGGATGAGGACGAGGATGATGATGATGAGGACGAAGAAGAAGACGAGGACGGGGATGACGAAGATCCAGACGACCCTCGGCAGCCAGTCATGATTACACGTGAGCAGATAATGCAGTTACTTGGGCACGCCGGATTAGGGCGCATATTCGCCACCGATTTAATTCCTCGATCCGGGCTTCGGCGACACAGGTTCGACGATGATGAACAGGAAGATGAAGAGGACAGCAACGCAGGCACCGGCTATGATCCTATTGGCACAAGGTCTTCTGGCAGAAGGCGAGGGCCACGAGGCAGAGACTTATTCGAAAAGGTTCCCAGCGAGCAGGGCCAGGAGTTGATGCAAGGAGGTAATTTCGGAACGAACCCACGACCGGAGGATACACTCCAGAGGAAAAAGAGGCTAGCGTACAACATCATGCGACGAGAGCTAGGCATCGGTGGTGATGGTCGCCAAAAGAATTCCACGAAGCTGTTGAGGCAAGACATGATACCCGAGTCTGTGGCCGACACAATCATACACTACAATGCGCGATGTTATTCGGGACAATTTTCTGACGATGGTAATTTCTTCTTCTCGTGCGCTCAGGACTTCAAAGTGCGCATGTACGACACGTCAAATCCATATGACTGGAAGTATTACAAGGTAAGTAACATCCTTGAATTTGAAGCTCTGCAAAACTGACCTTTCGCAGACAGTGAGATATGATGGCGGCCAATGGACTATCACGGATGCTTCATTAAGTCCAGACAACCGTTTCCTGGCATACAGCTCGATTCGAAGTATCGTCGCGCTAGCACACACGGATCCCAGTGACGATTCGGAGCCCCATTACCTTGATTTTTCAGACTTGGGCCGACCGACCCCGCGTGGATTCCGCGGATACTTTGGTGTAAGATAGTCACACATCCTGTTCGACTTCGCAACTGACCGCTCCAGATTTGGTCGATAAGGTTTTCTGGCGATGGACGTGAGATTGTAGCAGGAACAGGAGACAGCTCTGTCTATGTGTATGACATAGAGCGTCGTCAGTCTGTACTGCGCATCCCGGGTCATCAGGACGACGTGAATGCGGTCTGCTTCGGTGACACTAATTCGCCTCATATTCTCTACTCTGGTTCAGACGATACTACACTCAAGGTCTGGGACCGAAGAAGCATGGGCGATGGCCGAGAAGCTGGTGTTTTCCTCGGCCACACCGAGGGACTAACGTATGTCGACAGCAAGGGTGATGGGCGATACGTACTTAGCAACGGCAAGGACCAAACCGCTAAGCTCTGGGATCTGAGGAAAATGATGTCGAAAGAGAAGGCTGATCGCATTGATCCCAACGCATATACCAACCGCTTTGAGTACCGATCTAACGCGTACGACTTCGATGACTACCGCCCACATCCACACGATTGCTCGCTTGTCACCTTCCGAGGGCACAAGGTCTTGAAGACGCTTATCCGATGCCACTTCTCACCACCCGGAAGCACGGACTCGCGATATGTCTATTCCGGCAGCTACGATGGATCGGTCTACATCTGGAACCTGGATGCGACACTTGCTGGCAAAGTCGATGTTCTCAAAGCGACTAGAAACTCAAGACCACGTGAGACAGATCTTCTCTCTGGCATGTACGATCACTGGGGTAGGAATGAGGGTAGATGGCAGACCTGTGTTCGAGATGCAAGCTGGCATCCCAATGCGCCCATGATTGCTGGTAAGCATCTATATATACTCTATCTCCTCGATTCTTTAGCTGACCGTCGCTAGCGACTTCATGGAATGGCTGGGGCACCTCACAGGGAACTTGCACAGTCCACACATGGAATGACGGCCTTGAAGAAGATGAAGCGGAGCCAAAGATTGGACGGCGGGTTAATCACATGTTGCATCATGACGAGCGGCTCTACAATACCGAGGGCAGGACGAGAAGGCATCCTATGTGGTACGAAGACATGATGAATGAGGAGTGAAAGCTCCTGCATCAGCTGACCCTACCAGACTTCCGATGAACGGGCGAATGTAGGCATTGTATATAGGGATCTAGGAAGGAGTTTGGGAGGTTATTGTATATATGCAGGGACTTTCGGTTCTGGATCAGTCGACTCTAACCCACTTCAGTCTATATCACGTCAAATGGTCCGCAAAGTCCATCAACGTGAATGTTGCGCATGCCTAAATTTGGATATAATCAAACTCCCGCTGACCCAACCTCCGTACTGTACAGCCATTTTGAGTATGCCATATGTCCTCTATGGAGCCCACAAGTGAAGGCCGGTCTTTCCACTCCCAATGCCCCTAATACAAGATGATATGATGAACGGACCGGTGTCGTGGTCGAAGATGCAAAGGGAAGAGAATCGATGTGTTGTGGCGCGGACCGTCTATGAGCCGCCGACGAGGATGTTGTTTACGGGGATGTGGACCAGCTTGACGACGTAGCCGATGACTCCTGCAAAATGATCAGTCTGGTGGACCTGGGGCGGACATGCGACCTGTCACTAACCCATAATAAGGAAACCGATTCCGACTGCTTGCGATATCCTGATGAACTCCTTCTTGTCGGGCTCTGTGGTTGTGTTAGATACGTCGTTGTCGGTTTGCAGAGGCGGTCGTACTGGTGCAGCGGTTCATGAACAGAGTACCCTCCCGGAGGAACTCAGCGGGCATACTGCGCGGAGGTTAGCCATTACTCCCTCATCGTGCGATTGCCGTCGGGCTTACTCAGCGAATTCCTTGACGTTCTCCATGGCGACTGATGTGTGACTGTTGATTTGTGGGGTGGATGGAGTTGCCGTGAGTGATTTGTCGAGTTGAATGTGTCGCGGGTTGTCGGAGAAGTCGCGAACTCAGGGTAGCAGCTGCCAAATTACCAGACGGACGCAATCTGGCCTTGCGGAGAAACCCGACAGGGGTAGGTGTTGCGCCAAGCACGCTAAGCGGCGACGCTAACTTCGAGCTATCGCATCCGCGTCGTCGTCTGTCGCTCACCATCACTCGTGCTCGCGCCGACAAGTCGACTCTACCCACTTCCCCAGGTTTGTCACTCAACGCAGTCACTCACTACGCAACAGAGCCGCCCACGAGTCACGCGACCGCGACCCGCTTGCTTACGTCGACTCACGCGCAGAGTCAAGGGTTGAAGGGGAACGTGTTTGGCATTTGACTCGAGCTCGTCCTCGTTGCTCTCCATTTCTTCTTATTCCTGGTAGCGCACGATTCAGCGCCGCATCAATTCGAAGGGACATTGTATACAGCAACTTCGCTTCGCGCAAACTGTACTGGAAGCTAGCAATAGCAAGCGCAGGAGGCAGGCTGAGGCTTCACACACACATCTCTCACACCACATCCTGTACCTTTTACATCTCCGCATCTGCCAGGGGCGATCGGACTACCCCGTCTTGCACTGAGCTGTCTTTCTGGACCTTGTCACCACGCGCCGACAGCGGCACTGTACGTATGGCCTTACACTCTACGCTGTTTGTCTCTTCTCTCGCTTTCGCATTGCAACGGACGGCCAACGCATACTTTCTTTTATCATCCCTCTATCTCGTCATGCTGATTTGTATGCCAATCACAGAATTGCATGTACTTTGGCTATTGATACTAGCACATCAAGTACCTAAAAGCGAATTAAAGAAAGAATACCGGAACAAACCTCATCGCTTACTGCAGTTGACTTGACATACCACAGCAGACATGGCTGACGACGACAACTTCGACATCGACATCTACGGCGATGACTCCTACCAAGATTCGGCCGCGCAGCAAGACACCACCGTAACCGACGCCAACACTCCCAACACAGATGCGAACGCTGCGCCATCAAACAACGCACCGGATACCACGAAGGCGGAAAACGGCGATCAAGCGATCAAAGAGTCCACAGAGGACGCAACAAACGGGGATGGCCATCACGACCAGAGCACCCAACAGATAGCGTCCACAGGGGGTGCGGCTGGCCTCGACGTTCACAAACAAGCACCCCAGCAACAGGGCACAAAGCGCAAGCAGGGTGAGGACGATGATCGCCCGACCGATCCCGGCGCGACCGCAGCGCTCATGATCAACGACGTAAACTGGTGGATTAGCGAAGAAGACATCCGCGGATGGGCTAATCAGAGTGGTTGCGAAGACGAACTTGTCGAGGTAACCTTCAACGAGCACAAGGTCAACGGAAAGAGCAAAGGGTTAGTCACTCCATTGCTTTGAGGCATACCAGGCTAATCGTTCTTGTAGTCAAGTCTTCGCTCTTTTGAACTCACCTCAAGCAGCCACTGCTCTGAAGCACCAGATCGAGAACCTCTTCAGAGACCAAGCCCACACGAAGAAGCCGACCGCGATCTTCAGTCCTCCACACGTCAATCCGTTTAAGACACTACCAAAGGATGTTCCCGCGCGAGACAAGGGTAGGAACGATCGCGCTACTTCCGGCAATTACGGCAACCAAGGTGGATATAACAACAGAGGCGGATACAACAACAACCGTGGCAACTTTAACAGAGGAGGCATGGGCTACCAAAATAACCGTAACTTCTCTCCTGCTGGTGGTAACATGGGCGGCAACATGGGAGGCTACGGGGCTCAAGCACCAATGGGCAACTTCGGCAACCCTATGGGCGGTATGAACAACTTCGGAGGCGGCTTCAACCGCGGTGGTATGATGGGCGGTAACATGCGTGGTGGTATGGGCAATCGTGGTCGTGGCGGCAACATGGGCATGAACCCTATGGGCGGAAACCCCATGGGTGGCATGAACATGCCTATGGGCGGTAACATGATGGGCATGGGAGCCAACATGATGGGTATGGGTGGTGGCAACATGGGCATGATGGGAGGAATGGGTACGTCGAGAAACTTTCATCCTCCGACTAGTGACTTAACCCCCATACTCCTTGGTCCTTCGCTTGGATGATCGCTAACACTGAGACTACAGGAGGTGGCTTCGGCGGCAATCCAGCATTCAACCCAGGATTCTTCCAAGGCAACCAAGGCAGCAACGATGGCAGCTGGCAGAACCCGCACGGTGCCAAGAGGCCCCGCCCCGAGTAGGGTTCCGAGCGCGAGCGTCTATACCACGTGCCAAGAGAGCTATGCAAGCCGCATCGTGATTCGTCAGAAGACCGGAGAATCTATTATCGCAAGATGCACGAACGCCATTTTGCCGCGAAGGAGTACAAACGCCAACGCGAGTTGAGAGGCCGTCCTTCCGCAGACGACATGTCTGATAAGACCTTGGACAGGATCATATGCGGCGTTTTTCCTTGAAAACGTTTCGTGTCTCGTGCGACACAGTGGGTTAATGACCTTCTTGGTACCTGGTCTTTCTCTTCTTTTTCGGCGTTCTTAGGGCGGTCGGGACGTCTCCCAGGAATCAATCTCTTCTTCAATTGTTTTGTTAGTTCTCTCTCTTGTTTCCTCCAATGGCATACTGTACGCTGATGGTACTCGGAGGCCTTCACCTTTTGATACATCGTTGTCTTAGATCTTTTACTGGGGGTCTTGTCTGCCTTTTGAGTATCGGAACTATCGCGCGTGTATGCACTGATCACACGTGTGGTGACTTGAGTACTTTACACGCGGTCAGCAGCTGTCACGCCGCGTTCTCGCCAAACTGTTTTGGATACGGAATGACTGTATTACTACTTTGAAGATAAGTGTCTTCGGCGTTCGCATGTGAGCTACTTACCCTGAGGGCAAGAGACCAAACCGTGATCACAGGAGTGCCAAAATCCTTGGTGGAGAAATGTCGCTTCCCAGGCTAATTTGGAGTCAGGCCCGTAGGGACCACCTGCATATGAACCCAGACTGGGGCTTATAATAGCGCTAGGACGCGATGTTTCTACCAAACACAGCAACGACCAATGATATTCTCTCAATCGACCTCGCTATCTCCTTCCAGGCGCCTTCTATGCTTTTGCTTCCGCACTGGAAAACCGGGCAAGAAGGCGGCTTTTCAATATAAGCAAATGAAAGTGGAAGCTTGATTGTCGCGCTAGCCGCAAGCGGCGACAACCTGGGGTAACAACCTCATTAACATGCGAGGCTTGTAGAGAGGTGGCGAGGGGAGAGTGGGTCAGGCTATATGGAAGAAAATCTGAGGTGAGTTAGTTGCGCCGAAGACATGGAAGAGAGTGTATATCTTGGACTTATTCCTGGCCTTTCTGAGACAGTCGGCCAGAGCTCTCAAGGATCACAATGAGAATCTCCCATGCAAGCGCAGCAGTGCTGCTTAACAGCGCCTTTGCTGTCGCTCAATGTTCGTTTCCCTATGGTCTCGACAAGCGAAATATTGGCTAACACAAGGCAGCGACGAACGGCACTGGCGTAAAGTGCCCTTCGAGTTCAAAGTTCGCGTCAATCTCAGCCGGCACTTTCTTCGAAAAGCTGAACCCGGGGTGGAATGTTGGCAACACGCTCGATGCCGTGGAGACTGAAGGCAGCTGGAACAACCCACCTGTTGTAGGAAGCACATTCGATGATGCGAAAAGAGCTGGGTTCAAGAGCATTCGAATTCCCATCACCTGGGCGTACCACTTCACCTCTCAATCACCAGACTGGACCGTCGATCCTGTGTGGCTGCAACGTGTATCGGACGTCGTAGACATGGTCACAGACCGCGGATTGTACGCCATTGTCAACGTTCACCACGATTCTTGGACTTGGGCCGATTTGACAGTAGCGAACACGAATGTCACGGCTGTTGAAGAGAGGCTTGGGAAGCTTTGGGAGCAGATTGGCAAGAAGCTGGCTTGCAAGAGCGAAAAGGTTGCTTTCGAGACAATCAACGAAATTCCAGGAACTACGGCTGAGCATGGCGCTGAGGTCAACAGGCTGAACGACATCTTCCTCAAGGCTATCAATGATGCTGGGGGTCACAATCCGAAGCGCGTTGTTACGCTCGTTGGCGCTGGTGAAGATGGAGCGAAGACGTCACAGTGGTTTAAGAAGCCTGATCCGAAGTTTAAGAATCCTTGGGGCATTCAGTATCACTACTACTCACCGTGTAAGCAGCAACCATCTTACCACACGAGGTATTGTGACTAACCATACTGTAGACGACTACGTTTTCCAGGCCTGGGGCAAAACCACGTGGGGCTCTGACGCCGACAAAGCTGCTCTTGAAGCCGACCTCGCCGCCGTCCGTGGAAACTTCACCGATATCCCTCTGGTCATCGGTGAGTGGGCTGTATCGCCCGTCGCCACTGAGACTGCAGCGCGCTGGCGATACTTCGACTTCTTCCTCCGCACAGCAGCAAAATACAACACTTCGACCATCCTCTGGGACAACGGAGCCGACTTCCTTGATCGCGCAACACACGTTTGGCGCGACGAGGTAGCCTTGGACATCTACCGCAACGCAGTAAAAGGCATCCCGAATGCGCTTCCGGATAGTACTACAGACGGCTCTGCAACGCAGACGAGTTCTGCGCACATCTACCACCGCAAGAACGAGACTGTAGGAGACGCCACGTTGGGCTTCATGTTCAACGGAAACACACTCAGTAAGATTAGCAAAGGAAGCAGACAGCTAGCCAAAGGCAAGGACTACACCGTATCAGGCGAGAAGATCACCTTCGCAGCTGCATACCTCAAATCGATCATCACGCCTACCTCGCCCACCGGCAGTCTAGCAAACCTAACATTGACTTTCAACCGCGGCGCCGCTCTGCAAATTAACATCCTCCAGTACACCACACCAGTCCTATCCAGCAAATCCGGGTCCTTACCAGCAGCCGGTCAGGACTTGCTCATCCCGATTACATGGTCTGGCCAGAACAGGCCTGCGGCTGTCAAAGCTACCAAAGCCGATGGAACGTATCTGGTGGATGACTGGACGCAGTACCTACCTGTGCTACAGCAGGGTCGGGCGACGTACGGTAACCATTGGGACTGGACTGCGCAAGGTGTTGTTATCAAGGCAGCGGCTTTGGATGCTGTTAGGGCGGCGGGTCAGGCTGCGACGTTCATGATTGAGTTTTATCCCCGGGAACCGGGGAATGCGGTGGAGTACACTGTTACTGTTTGAAAGAAGTGAGGGTTAGAGCTTGGCATGTACTGTGATGGGTCATAGTTCAGATAGTGATAAAGTTCATGATATGCTGATCTCAACCACCGTTGACTCAATAAATAGCATTACGATCAAAATATATACACTACTCTCTGCAGAGCGAAAGTATGCCAAAAGGACATCGTCACCAAACCTATCCAGCTTAGACGACGGCGCGGGAAACAGGGATGACGATGTCGTCCCGCTTACGGCCGCCACCAATGTCGGTGGTAACCTCGATAGCAGCCTCTCCGTAGACGACAACACCGCTGGGCAGAGTCTCCTGAAGGGTAACGACTACAAGGCAAAAAAAGTTAGTTCGAAGCTATCAGACTGGCATATGGAGATGTAAACGTACGCTTTCCGTCGTAGGTGAAGTCGAATGTCAACTGGTCGCAGCCGTGGAGGTAAGGGTCCTGAGCCTCGACGCAGGTGTTCCTCAGCTCGGCGTACTGGTCGTTTGAGAACTCGGCGTGGAGGTAGATTTGGCCAACGTCGGGTCCGACGGTAATCTCGACGTTCCACTCTCCTTGGTTGTCGCGGGGGAGGACGGCGGCGGAGGCGGTGCTGGCTACGAGAGCGAGGAGGGCGGTGGTGAACTGCATCTTGGTGGTGATGGTGTTGAAAGTCGTGGTTGGTAGATGGGAATATCGGTAGTAGGAGTAGTAGTAGTAGTGGCGAGGAAGTGATGGATGTTGTTGATGATGTCTGTCTAGCTGAGTGGAATACCGAAATTATATACGCAAAGCCGTAGCTGCCGAGTACCACCGAAATGCACGTTGCTCGTGATTACGGAGTACGAGTACGAGAGCTACAGAAAGCATCTATTTTCACGTTGTAATGCGAGGTGTATCCTGGACCTAGCGGTGTGGAGTTGCCTACCTCTTTCGCACTGATCGTCCGTATGTTCCCCATACAGGGCACCGAGGTACTGTAGCCCTGGGTTCTCAATACTCGCGAGCGCACTGGTTTTGCGCTTCTCCTTTTCGATGCGTTAGTTGACTTATTTTTAGAAAGGTACAAGCTCTGGTCTTGTCGTAAGATGAGGCTGACGTCAAAACATGCGACCGTTACCTAGGTATCGACGATACTAACATCTGACACTCCAAGAACCTTTGAAGACTTAATTATGAGTTTGCGCATTGTTCAGGTTTCTTACTGATGGTCATTTACTTCTTATCGCCATCTCGACTTCGTGGTTTTGGTGAGGAAAGAGTCTGAGCTTCCCGAGGTCTTCACCCACCGGATGAATCGCCCGTAAGCATGGAAGAGGAAGTGGAGAGGAAAATCTCCGAGCTACAATGCTACTGTGGCGCCGTCAAACCGGAACAAGCTTTTCACGCCGAGAACACGAGCGCCAGTCAGGCACGGCACGATATCGTAGCGTTTGATATGTGCGTGCGCTGATAATGACGATGCGAGGCTCACCAAGAGACGATTCCACAACCGACCAGCATTGTGTCAAGACAACCTGGCCGTTGCCGCTGAACCGGGATGCTAGCGGTCGATCACTTCGACTTCATGCGTTCGTATTGTTGCTTTGTTTTTCTTTCTCGAGCATTTATCAATTGCCTTAAGCAGCCATTGACTCCGCGCAGTAGGAGCCTTCTTATGCGACTATCGCGACGTTTCATCCAAGCCTAACACGAATCACTCAAAGGAATAGCCGTTGGACCAGTCGTTGATTGAAAGTTCTAAAAATGGTCAAATTTGTGGATGGTTGATGTTAAACGATAGAAGTAGCATTGGAACTGATCATTCAAGGAAAATTGTACAACTGTTACGAACTCGTCGCATCGGATCGTTGACGACGTCTTCAGCACTGTGCGTTCGTATTGAAGAGGCATTCGATGTTGCTGGTGGTGGATGAGCAAAATAAAAACTTAGGGGTGTAACCTCACGAAACTACGTCATTGTCACCCGCCTCTTACGAACGACGACGCCCGGGCCGGCCCAGTTGCAATATCGCCCACCGGCCAATTTGACTGGAGTGTTTAAACGTGGTACCTGTCCCATGAGAGAGCGTCATGAATACCTACTACAACCAGCCTCGGGCGAGCAAGTGCTGATGATAGATGTGTGCAGAGGATGTGGACGAAGTGGTGTCAGGGTGATAAGAAGACAAGCGATAGCTTGAGAACATGGTATTTTGTTATCGTATCGCAGCCTCCCATTCCTTCATCGCTGATCTTAGTCTTGCTTCAACGCCGTTCTCGTGCCAAAAGTGCCCTGCGCCTGCAACCTCAACACTGGTAAAGCGTGAATTCGGCTCAGCTTTGAGCTGTTCTGACCAATCCCGGATTTTCTTTGACGAAGCGAAGATATCCTGATCGCCATAGATGGCCAGGGTTATATGCTTTCCAATCACTTCCTGACAGTCGTCTTTAGACCTGCTCCAAAACTTGTGTATCAGGGCCGGTGCAGCAAGTGTAGAAGTTGGCGGCGTAAGCGGTGAGATGAGGAGATAGCGTACATCTGGCATTGTAGTCGTCGGGTTCTTCTTCTCTGGCTGCGGTATCGGTTCGTGGGTTTCGTGTCGTCGCCTGTGGCTGAGGCTTCTTAACCTCGTTCGGATTTCGAGCCGCGAGCTGCCCTCGAGACTTCTTCGGACGTCCCTGCTACTCCTGCGCTTCTCTGGGCTTGTCTCCTCCCCACCCATTGTAACTGGAGGTCTCGGTTCGTTTCCTGCTCGGCTCTTCCGCCTAGCTCTGGTTTCATCCCGAGCTAGGTTGATCCATTCCAGATTGCTCTGGTCTGCTAGCTTGCGAGCGCGCAGAACTATCTCGTCGGCTGCAGTACCCGCCACTGGAGCGGAGAAGGGTTGTAGTATGGTTGGTACGGGCGGGAGGTGTCTAAGCATGAGAGAGCCATACGAGTAGCCTCCTAGTATGACGATGGGAGATGCATCGTCTTGCGCCGGTGCTAACTCGCTTTGATTCGATAGTATCGGAGGCTGATCGGGCGCGAAGGTAAGATCGGACGTAAGACGTGGTCGAAGGCAGGATATGTAGTGCATGAAGAATGCGGCGAAGGATGTATAGTCATCTAGTTCGGGTCTTCCAGACCAGCTAGTGCGTCCCTTAGACCCGTGAGCACCTCTAGTACGTATTAGTTACAACCTGCTACGGTAAAGAACGGTTATGACAGTACCTGAAGTTGAACGTGCCCACCATCCACCCAGCATGCAAGAACTCTTCTACCACGATGCCAACTACACGATCGTCATAGCTACCACCCATTGGCGCGTATGGGTGTGCCATGACGATACCCCTCTTCCTCCATTGCGCGATATGGGCCGAGTCTTTCGGCTTGGTCAGGGTATCTGGATGGTATATGCGGCAATCGAGTGTCGTGTCATCGTGTATCGACGGTATCGTGAAGCTGTAGTGAGCTTCCGGTGGGCGGCGCATCTTCTGGGCCGAATCGAGACCCAGCTGCAGTGCTCATTGCATCTTCGAAAGATAACGTTGCTAGGCAGTAGCCGATAAGACTATATGCACAATGTAGGATGGCTTACTACGCGGCTGTGCAAGACCGTGGGGTTGGCTCTGAGTTGCGGAGAGCGTTCCGTTGATCGCAGGTCCGTGCTTATTGTAGGTGCTACGCGTCGAAACACCCAGGAACTCTTTCAGTACGCTCCCAGTTTGAACTGTACCGCTCCCCGAAGACTGAACCTTGCGCAAACCAAGTCCGGGTTTGTCTTGATGACATTGGGTGCTGCAGGTGGCTGCAAATTTGTGTACCGCCCCATGGCTGTGTCTTCGGCTGCTGCCCGGGTGAGCCTGGGCTGATTCGTGCAATATGGGCGAGTCCTCTGCCTTCAGCCTGATCTACGCAGCTGACGTCCGGAATCTTATCGATGAGTTTATCTGTTATCAGGCGGATTCAATTGCGCTACCTGCCATCAATGCTTTCATACTCATGGATCGACCCCTTACACAGCAAACGAAATGCCAAACACCTGTCGGCACATGTATGTTGAGACCACAGATTCTTTCAGCTGCTGTCTATCTTGCGGCGAGCTCGTTACGGAAGCGACATCATCAGCTACTTCAGAACGACCTTTCAAATACGACCCACTCGACTGCGAAACCGAGCAACATATCCGTCTAGTGCATATACACCCGGGGCAAAAGGAGGACGACATTGTGTGCGAGCTTGTCCACGTCAATCTAGCAGCTGCACCTATTTACGAAGCGATTTCCTATACCTGGGCGACAACGGACGGCGATGCCTCTTTTTCCCAGTTTATTGTGTGCCATGGGAAGAAGCTCGCCATTACGAAGAATTGCGAAGCGGCCCTTCGATGTCTCAGAAAACAAGACAGCCCCCGTGTGCTATGGATTGATGCTATGTAAGCTCGCAGGGCCCGTATTGTATCGTCGCTAGTTGCTAATATCACCAAACAGATGTATCGATCAGAAAAGCACGAAAGAAAGAAACCACCAAGTTGGTCTAATGGACTCAGTCTATTCAAATGCGTCTCAAGTATTGGTATACTTAGGTTTCCGTCACCCTGAAAGGATATCGAAGGTTTTCACATTTCTTGACGAGATATCTCAGGACATTATGACTGTACATCGTAGGGATTGTGAGGACGAGCTTATGAGATTTCTGCAGCACCCATACTTCAACAGGGTCTGGGTGTTACAAGAGATATCCTTGGCGAAGTTAGTCGTTCTTTATACGGATCATCGGACGATTCATTGGGATGCGCGTACGGTTCAACGGCTCATGTCTCTCTGTGAGTGGCTGAAATACCCTCCTCCGGGTGTTCTACACTGGCTTCCAGCGACTGAACGAGGCGAGCATGACTGTCTAGACTTGCTGCATCGAGCCCGCCCTTGCATGGCCACAGATCCGAGGGATAAAGTCTTCGCTCTCTATAGCTTCCTCCCCTTGTACTTTCGAGAGGCTCTTCCAGTGAATTATGCCATGGGTACCGAAGAGGTCTATTGGAACATGGCAACTCATTTAAT